TTGGCCATTGCATAATACGTCATTGCCAGCTGGCTGAGCGCGTTACGCCGCTGCAGCCTCACCTCCCGCCATTCATCATACCCCCTCAATGAGTCACAGTACGAGTGCAGGCGTTTGAGCTTGTCTGCGGGGAGTAGCTCCGCCGCTAACAGAAATAGCTGTGCCTTAATCCGTACCATCCACGTCTCCACCATGGTTTTCATCTGCGTGAGGTACGAGCCGGGGAGTGACTCGCTACCGGCTGGAACCTCTGTCTCGTGATAGAGCGCTGCCAAAACTGGGAGAAGCACCTCCACAAGACGAGTAGGCTGAAGACGATAGGCCATCTTGGCGAGGTGTGGGGAGAGTTGCTGAAAGCTCTTGAGATGCACAGGCTGCAAAATACATGCTGATGAGGCAGGCTCAACTCGACATGCATGGTAACTATATGATGCAAACCGGCCTAAAGGGAGCAGCTCCGCTTTTGCAAATCTGTAGAAATGAAGAACTAGCCATTGCTGAGTGAAGGCCGAGCCTGCAGCGACGATGCGGGAGTTTCTCCTCGCCAACCTCAGGCAAAACTGAAGGAAAACAATACTGTCTGCAGGCGACCTTCATGCTCTCAGAAAGTGCTTATTCCCGAGCGCACAGAATTCCCCCTGTTCACCTGCTGCTGAGGCGAGCAGGAAGTGACGCAAATTCATGCTTGCCTTTAGCGTAGCAGGTTGCGAATCTGTTTGACTAGCGGAGATGGTTGTGCTCCCTGTTTCTGGAAGTCACCATTAAGGAGTGAAAAGGCTGAGTTGTTGGCTAGAGTACCTAAGGTGTCTAGCAGATCTGCGGCTCCTACCTTGCAGGAAAACTGAAAGAGCAGGCGCACAGGGCCTCCCGTCATCTTGTCACTGAGGGGGCGCGACGTCTTGAACATGGTCACCTGAGTCGAGTCGGATTCCAGGCGCGTGATGACGTCACCCAGTCCTGAGAGTAGTTGCGATGTGCTCAAGGGGTCTTCCAGAGATTCTACCGTGGATTGACTGCCAGAGCTCCATTCGAGGTATGGCCATTCCCCATTCATCGTCATCACGCCCTCCTGCTTGAGTTTCTGCTGCACTTCCGCAGACTGGCTGACCTTCACGATTCTGTCCTTGAGAGCCCTGAAGAATCGAAGCGTGAGCGCATGTCTCGGAGGAGATATGGGGGCCATCAGGCTTCGTTGACGTTTGCTCTCTTCATGAAGCTCTTGCAGTACGGAGTGGCCATCTGTTCGGACATAGGAAATGTAGCACAGGTCAGATGTTAGCGCTAGGAGTTGTTCGTCATGCCGCAAGACGAGCCTTGCCACAGCGTTCACGAGGTCGTCATCGACTGCTCCTGAAGACTTTCCTTCGCCTCGCCGCTGACCAGTTTGCTTGCCCTTACCTTGTCCCTTGGAAGAGGGAGCTGCTCCACTCTTCGTGCGTTTCTGGGGAGATTCTCCTCCAGATNNCTCGGGATTTCACCACGTTTGGAAGAAATGTCGGACATTGGCGCGCTTCTGAAGAAATCTTCCAGCGACATGTCTGCAGCGCCTATCCTCTGCCCACTCTAATTTCTGGAGAGTAGCAGCTGAGGATGTTGGGTCTAAATTCAGAGCGCATGATACAGCCTTGTCATGCCCACCTGAATGCAGATTGACTGTTGAGAGCGTCAGGCCTGCTGCCGCTCGAGCAGCAAGAGATAGACATTGCCTGTGATTATCGAGGCATCGAGTTGACAGGCTGTCGGGGGGCGAGAGTCGTCTGCTAAATACCATTGTGATTCAGCTCGGATAAGACTACGGTAATGCCCTGAGGTGGGCTCCTCCCCAAGGTGAATCACCCCAGCTCGGAGAAGGAAGGAATGCCAGGTCAGGACTGACCCCACTCCTTCAAAGGCAGGGAGTAAAAGCGTCTCCTGAAGTCTGATGGAGCTACCATTTTTGCCATCTCCGGCGTACCTCGGCAAGGCTAGGAAGACAAGCTTTTCGGCGGCTACCAGGGCTCGAACCGGCGTCTGGTTGCTCCAGCTGTTTATCATAGTTTGCAGGTCCTCGGCTAGCGGCACATTCAGAAAGATTGGACTGAGCCCTTCCTCGTCCACCACATAGCCTGCCTCCATGGGAGACCGGGTCTCCCAGCAACAAACCTGTATTCCTGAGAGATTCGGAAGTATCACACTGAGAAACTCTGCTGCGTCCTGCTGGTTGCCATCGAATGACCAGCCTCTTGTGATTGAGTCCAGGACCTGGTGCTCGGGTGTGATGCGCGCTAACTGGCTTGTTCGATACGCCTCCTGGAGTGTTGGCAGGCTTGTCGGCGGCACTACCCAATGCAGAATTTGCAGTACTGAGTTTGCGTAGCAGTGATTGCGCCGGTTGGCCAATAGCCAAAAGCCCTCTAAAATAAAGACCGGGTCAGGTAAGCCTACAGGCTGGGTTCGAGAGGATCCTGATGGCGTCGTCCGCGTCTTAGGCTTGGCTTCGTACGCTCTCGGGGCCAAATCTAGTCCTTGGTGTTGAGCTTCCTGAAGTACATGCGTTTGTAAGAGTGGGACACACTGCTCAGAGTGCCTGCCTGGCGCGTCGACCTTGGTTCGACAGTAGCGGCAGTGGTGACCCTTCTTCATCATGACTTTATGAAGCTGTAGTCTTGGGGTTATGATCGGCTGGACGCTTTTCATGACCTCAGGGTGCTGACGATTCAGGTGCTGCTTGACTGCCTTATTGCCAGCTAAGGCCTGCCCACATAGTGCACAGCTTTCCATGAGCCAGATATGCAGGTCAGGATTTACGGCAGCCTGTCCCGGATCCCGAAGTGCTTCAGCTTTTACTTGCTCGTGAACTTGATCGAGTTCCGTTACGTTGGCCTCGGCCTCTGCCTGATTCCGGAGCAGAATGCTCACGTGCGGGCAGGTAGAAATCTCTACATGGCTACGCAAAAAGAAGTATGAGCGGAACAAGCGTCCACAGGCTATGCACTCAGGCGTGCCCGCCTTGGCGTGCTTTTTGGGGTTGAAGCGTGGACCTTTCGGAAATAGGCGAGCTCCAGGATGATGTTTTTGTGAATGGCGCCTAAGTGCGCCTGTGCCTGCGAACAGAGATCTGCATTCAGTGCAGACCTGTTGCTGCAACTGATCGGTGCTGTTCATTCTGGTCGCTGCTGTAAGGCTAGAAATGCTGTCAGAAAGAGTTTCTGCTCTAGGTAGGTAGTGCTGCAGAAGTGCTTCTTTGTCTCCCTTGTGTTGGCGCTTGATGAACTGTTGCAAACGCTTCAATACCTGAGCCTTAGCTGTCTTGAGTCCTTTCCGTTGCATGAACTGCTGGTTGTTCTCGTGCGTGTCTTGGGAGTAACTCCGCAGGACAAAGCGCAGCTGAAAGATCATGTGTGACTCAAGCTGAGCCAGACCCTGTGAAGTCAGGCCCACCACGTGGAGACCGTACATGGCTGACGCCCAGGCGGTAATGCGCCAGATTGACAATCTTCGCTTTTCAGTGATTGCTCGGCTATTCCGGACAGCGTGCGCTACTTCCTTGAGGGCAGCCTTACTCGCCTGCAAACGATGTCGAAGTGACTTCATCTCGTAATCCTGGTAGGAAATGATGATTCCTAAATAGGGAACCTGGTGTTTGAGCGCGATCAGCCTACCTGAAGGAAGCTGGACATACTTGACACCTTGCTTGGTTGTTACAAGGCTTTGCCTGATCTGTTGGGCTGAGCCCCCATGTATTTGAAGGAGCAGCGCAGATTTTTCGGGGTTTACTTTGAATCCTAGCTCCACGAGTTGGTCCAAAAGCAGATCACATAACTTAAGCGACTCCTGTAGCTGGCGTTTGTCATCGAAGTGCATCTGTAGGAGCGTGTCATCCGCATACATTGTGAGGATCCTCTGCAGCGTTGCTATATCGCACTGCTCTCCTAATCTGCGAAACAGTAGGAAGGTGGCAAATGCGAATAGCGACGGGGCTAGTTTACATCCCTGCTTGATGCCTCGTCTTGTGGCAATACTGAATGCCTTATCACTGGCTGTCATGTCATAAAGGGCCTGAATGTGAAGCTTCCCTACCAGGTCGATTAAGAATGGGTCCACTTCTGCTAGCTCCAGCGCTTCGCGTAATCTTCTCCTGTCTACCATGTCGAACGCCTTACTCATGTCGACACTGAATGTGAGGCTGCCCTGAAGAGTGATACCTCGGTGACCGGCCTCGTCGACGTGAGTCAGTGCCTTGCAGATGGCTTCCTCCGTCCCCCGGCCTGGCACGAATCCGAATTGGGTCACCTCGGACATTGCAGCTTGAAGCGTGGGCTTGAGTTGTTTCCTCAGGTGACCTGCTAACACCTTGCCTTCAGGTGCTATAACGCCTATTGGCCTCAGGGAGGCCGGCTTGTCTGGCTTCTTGGGTGGTTTTGGAAGCCATGAAATGCTGGAACTTGTTATCTTAGGATCCATGCTTAGTGCCTGGGCCTCCCGGTTCAGAAGGTTGGCAATGTGCTGGTGGGCCACCGGTCCTAGACTTCGCCAGGCCACTATGGGGGGGCAGTCTCCAGGGACTGCCTTACCCAATTTGATTGAGCGAAGCTGATCCATGACATCTGACGAGGTGATTCCCAGAGACCCTGAGGAACCCTGAAGCTGAAAATCCTCCCCTGTCCCGAACAGGTCCTTGGAATATTCTTCCAGGGCTATTCGCTCTTCCTTTGCATTGAGGAAACGGCCCTGTTCATCGCGGAGTTGCACTCTTTCGTGTGGCTTACCTGTCTTGAAGGAACGGATGACGTTATAAAGGGAATGACTCCCGTCCTTGGAGCTCTTAGCCTCAGCCTGGGCAAGCTGTTCATCTATAAGTAT